AGCCACGCACCTCCATTTAAAAATTTTTTTTGCCGCGCCCCCCCCCCCCCCGAGCCGAAATCCTGGGTACGCCACTGAGAGGGCGATATCATTGGTGATATCGAATTATTAAATGCGAATTCCCCCTATCTCAACTTAGACGTGCGACTTTGCAGTTCATCATCTGTGTTGGAGACGAGCCTTCAAGTACATTTCCTAGCAACTGCTATCAGTGGAATGACGTCCTTTCAACTGTTTCCTGATCCAAATTTTACTACCTCACCAGTTGATGTCGATCAAGACCCTGTCTTTATGCCATACTCTAGGTGGGTATTTGCATCATGGAGGAGCTCATCCACGAATTCTCCTTGTTTGTGTGAAACTGTACATTATATTAAATCGGGGCAAAAGCTCTTTTGGTGGACCAACCTACAAATTTGAAAGTAAAAATAAGGATAGTATAGAGCGAATACAAAATATTTTCCGATGCGATTGTGTTGAAGAATGTTGCCGAAGCTTACAATCCTTTGATTTTACCATGTTCAATTTTCTGTGATTTCAGATTGTATCAAATTTTCAAAGGGGCTCTGATAACGATCTGATAGGGCCAATGTTTTGCAATGTTAACCCAACTTTTTGTATCTTTCCATATCCTTTTTAGAATTCGTTAAATCAGTTTACAATAGCCTTGAGTTTCAGAGAATATTGCCACAATGTGCACCATATACTCTGCGCATGTACGCCTAATCAAGCATGCGTGGCAGAAGTGCACACTAGTCAATTGAATCAGCGAAAAATGCTCTTTTTACGATCATCAGAGTATATTTACAAACTCTCAAGTACTCACACTCAGTTCCTAAATCCTCGCTCAAGCCAACGCTTGAAGCCATCTTGAATGCTCTGCCTAACTTTTTAACAAAAATTTTGATGCGGGCGCTTGTCCTTGAGCGCACATGAAAGATGGTCGTCACTCCGAAAGCCAAACCTAAAGGTTATTTGGTGACCATAACTATTCAAAATGAGATGTACATAAAATACATTTGGAAACCCTGATACCAAATCTACCCTCGCTATCTGCGATACAAAGCTTTGGAGAGAGTTACAAACAATTTGTAAACATTTTATCTAGAAAGTACTGTACTTATATAAGCATAATGTAGATGAGATTGCCAGTGTTGGTTTAGTCTATAGTCTAACGCTACCGAAGAAACTCCAGACATAGCGGACTAACTTATTCATATTGAACAGTTAGGGCAAGAAAAATTCATCGCGTTGACCATCCGCGGTGCAATTCAAAAATTGGAAAAATAATCATAACTTCGTCCAGGTAAAGGTTTCGCGGATTTGGGGAGCCTTTGAAAGAGCATACAAATGCGTATTTGTCATTAAAACTCCCCATTATGAATGGCCACGGTAAACTCCTTTGCTTGCATATGACTTCAATTAAGGCTAATTGTAGCCTTTAAATTGGCGTCATATCATCTAGAGCTGAAATTTGGTAGCGCAGCCCATTGGGCCGACTATCGCTTCGCAGTGCTCCTATTGTAGCTATACGCCCGTTACTTGAGTCTGTAAATATGAAAGAAATATGACTTCTTCATTCAATTTATGAACACTTACTACTTATATTTATTGTGTCACAAGCAAAAGTCATTGTTGAGGACTATTAAAAACATCCATGCTCAATTTACTTTGCAATCCTTCCATCAGGTTATCCCATAAATTCCGTCCGTTTTGAGTTTTTCATTCTCAATATTCGTTTTAGTGTGTGGCACTCGAATGAGAGAAGCTAAATTCGATATTGCTCGAGAAGTAAGGCCTGTAGAGAGCTAAAAATCCAGGTCTGTACTTCTACGGGTCTGTAGTATACATCTACTAATGTAGGAACAACACAACATCACTTTGGAAAAACATGTTTTTATTCTTTAGATTTCTATTCGAGGAAGAAATATAGCAACAGTCTATATAAGTATCTGACGTGGATAGTGTATCTGTGAGCAAGCTAGGAATTTCCTGAGATTTTTTTGGAGGGATCACGATTTTTCTTCTATTTTTTGGAAGGTCGGATCCTTCAAGTTTTTATCATCGAATATGAGATGGATTTGGCTGTTGCGAAAGAACACTACCTTATAGGGCTTGCAACCTATCTGTAGAAACAAGAAAGTGACTTATTGCGATTGAAACTTGTGAAAGTTGAAACGGACGGAACTTATGGGACAACCTGACATTTACCATCATATTCTCAAGTTCAAATTTCAGTGGTACTACAGGCCCGCCGAAGGGAGTGATGCTGACCCATAAAAACTACTCTGCTCTTATGAGTATTTATGGAAGGTAAGGGGAAAGTGAGCGTCTATAATTCATCATAAAATCGTGACAATGACGGCCGCACACATTACTGCGTTTCCATACTTGCTTCCCTTGTCGAAGCATTTTTTGCATGTACGTGTGAAAAGGTTTTGAGCGCTAAACTTCGGATGTTATACGCTCTTGTAACGCTGGTGGGCGCGCATACCGCAAGCGATGTCGTCACGATTTTACCAATGCCCTATACTCTATAAAGGTAAACAGTTTTGCGTCATGATAGTCTACTTATAGACATGATGAGTTACGCATGTTGGGAGGACTTTCTCCACCATGGTGCTGTGAGAAAGACAGAGAACTGCTACTTTTGCCATTTTATCACTGCTTTGGATTTGGTAAGTTCCAAACCACTTTTTGAATTTGCTTTTCTTAATTGTTCTCATTTTTTGCGGATACTCTATTGATTCAAAAATTATCACAACCATTTACTGCAGCTATTACAGCGCTTATGATGTCATCCATTCTCAAAGGTGGCACTTCAGTGGTGATGTCACATTTTCATCCACAATTATTTTGCGAGTCTGTACAAAATTTCCAGGTAAGCGCACGAATTAGCTATCTTCCCAAATTTTCAACATCCTTTACTTCAGATTCGATTCGTAGCCGTAGTTCACCTATACTGGTGTTCCTTGTCAAAAATCCTATATGCGAACGATACGACCTCTCTTCATTGCAATTCATTTTCAGCGGGGCAGCACCAGCTGGGAAGGATCTGTGCGAGGGACTGAAGAAGAAATACAAAAACATAAGGGCACATCCAGCAAGGCCAGATACTTTAGCTATAATTGATATAAATCAATGGAACTTGTCAGATCTAATATCAACGATTTTCTAGGCTATGGTATGTCCGAATTGAGCATGGGATCTCATCTACCTGACATTACTCAGGGACAGCCAGTTGGAAGCGTCGGGAAGCTTGTTTCGAATTTGGAGATGAAGGTGTTCGCATTTTTGTGTATAACCGGTTCATATATCCACATAGCTTACAGATTGTTGACCCAGAAGATAATACTATGAAGGCACGAGGAGAGATCGGAGAGATTTGCATACGCGGTCCCACAGTAATGCTTGGTTACTTTGGGAAGCCAGAAGCCACAAAAGAGTGTATCAGAGACGGATTCATGTACACCGGTGAGAATCATTACGATATAAGCTTTAGATAATGCGTAAGAACGGCTGCCATAACCGGTCTCGCTTCTTGTTGATTTCACATGGCAAAAATCACTATGGTCTCCTTTCATCAGTCCTTCCTATGAATATTGTCAAGGGCGCGAAATCAATACACTAACAGTTCCAAATTTGAAATTATCATTACCATTGCAACTATCAAGATACCATGGGTTATATTTAGCTTTTGATAAAGTGTGGTTTTCTAAAACTCTATGATCTTCCGCGTCAATCTACCCTTTTGTACTGCCTTCAGGTTTGTCGCTAAAATTAGAAATATCAATAAATTTAGGAATACCGAGGCAATACTTTGAGTGCTCGATGTACAGTTGCAGCGGTGGAATTTGTCCAAAACTGCGGGATTGTCGGGATTCGCGGGATTGTCGGGATTCGCGGGGTTCGCGGGATTCGCGACTTCGCGGGATTTGCGGGATTCGCGGGATTTGCGGGATAAGCGGGATTTAGCCATAACTTCATTTAAATAGTTTTATTTTGTAATCTGAGTGAAGATTTGGCTTCAGCTTGATGAGACCGAATCTTTTGATATGCGGTATGTCCGTAGTTCATAGTGACGGGGTAGATATACAATGATACCTTGTTGTTTTCTACGTTAAGGCTTTTGTGAACATTTATCACAGTGTAAATCGCGTATAGGAGGTTCTGGTACGAAGCTCTCGTTATCGAACACTATCGCGAAAAATTGGGCAGTTTTTATTTACCCTTATCGCTGATATAAGCATTTTATCATTTATCACTGATAATAACACATTTTTGGATCATTTTTTGCATATGGTAAGGAAAGTACTGTAGGAAAAGCTGTGTGAATTTCTATCGCTCTTTCTCTCATTATAAGTGATCTACAGCTTTTCTAGTTCTATTGCTCGGTGCAATTGGTAGATCCCTCGCTGCAGCAATCGATCGATTTTTCATCGGCACATGCCATTGCTGCCTCTTACCTAGAATGGCATTTTTGCTTCAACTCGCTTCACGCCGAAGCCTGGGCTCAAATTCTGTAACTATATGGAGGATGAACGTGGAAATCGACCGCATGAATTGAAGCCATTCTTATCTATCGTTGTCATTGATATCATCATTTTATCATTTATCACTGACGACACAAAATTGGATCATTTTTAATATACAATAAGAAATGTACTTTGGAAAACGCTGTGTGAGTTTTTATCGCTCTATCTCTTATAGTACAAAACCACTCACAGAACATGCAAAATTTCCGGGAATTCCGCGAAATTCATGTGAATCACGCAAATTACGCAGGGCCATAACTTTTTTCCGAATGAGTATATTAAAAATCCGAAAACAACGTTGTATTCAGCTCGTCAAGGCAAATCTTTTTGATATACGATTGTCTCCAATATCTTGTTTTCAATAATCTTGAATTTGCATGCCGACGCCTCTTCGCATGGGTGTAACGCAACAAGCATCACACATAGGAGACTGCCATGGGCACCGTTTGATAGTATTCTTTCACTAGATTATCGTGCGCTAAACAGCAGCCGAAGACTCCCTTTCAAAAGAGATAGAAGAGCTGATAAACTCTGGAAAAATTAAGCTATTCCAAGTTTTACTAGCCGTAACTTTCTTTAAAATGAACATTTTCGAAATCAGAAAGCAGATTTGTGTTCATCTTGTCAAGTCGAATCTTACTGTATACAGCATGTTCTTGAAGATCTGTTTTCAATTTTGTCAAAATTTTCTGCGCGCGTATATTCACAAGGGTCGCAACGCAGCGCACATCAATTATAAAAGACTCTATTAAGCACTGTTGGATTGTGCTGCTTCCGCAGATTATCGAGCGCTAAGAAGCAACCGGAGAATCTTTTTGAGAAAAGATAAAAGAGCTGGTGAATTCTGGAAAATCGTGTTGTCTCAAATTTTGCCCACAGTGACCCTAAAATGAGAAGCTCTACTGCTAAGCAGATGTGATTTTCGTAATCAGCAGGTCAGATAACCTCTATGAGCAGTTTTCAAAGAAATTTGGGTGATTTGATTTTTTCGTTCTACGCCCTGAAGCTCGCCGATGGGTTTTGGTCAAAATGTCGATGACCTTGGATTGTAAAGAAACCTTGCCCAAAGAGGTTTTCGAACACGCTGTTTACGAAAATAGTGGTCTTTGAAGAAGACTGGGTCTTTTTGTAGAGATATTGTGAGGTGACTGTAACTGAGTCACGAAAGTTCGTAAATTTGCCTGCACTTTTCGCGAATTTGTCAGAAAACTAGCCTGCTTGCTTTCCAAGTCAAAATCAGTGGGAACTGTGCTATCAAAAGGTGCATGCTCAGGCTCCAGTCTATAAAGTTCGCCGAGTTACGAGCCTACGAAAACACGTCCTCATGAATTTTGCTCAAAATGTGAAAATCGCGTATTTCGTCGAAATTCCACACTCAGTGGTTGTATGACATACTGATCAAATCTGTTCACATTGGTTAATGGGTCTTAATGTGCTGGATTTGGAAATTAGGTGGATCTGAGCTCAAGCTACGAAGGTGCTTGTGTCGAGACGCAGACTAATTAGAGTCTGACAGTCCCCCTCGCCGACTGGGCGGTGCCACCAACTTCAGATGAGCTGGCACTCCCTGGGTGCTCGGTGGTCCCCTCCCCAATTATGTTCCCTCATATTTATATTTATGTTATAACGATAAAATAATCTAGTCAGAACTGTTATGTATTACAAAGGAAAGAAACTAAGGGTAGAGGGATCAAGTTAAGAGAATAGCTAACTCTTCAGACTTGACACCTGGATATTCAAATGAGCAGCTGAAGAACGCGCGACCACCATAATCAACTCAATGGGATCCCTTAGTTTCTTTCCTTTGTAATACATAACAGTTCTGACTAGATTATTTTATCGTTATAACATAAATATAAATATGAGGGAACATAATTGGGGAGGGGACCACCGAGCACCCAGGGAGTGCCAGCTCATCTGAAGTTGGTGGCACCGCCCAGTCGGCGAGGGGACTGTCAGACTCTAATTAGTCTGCGTCTCGACACAAGCACCTTCGTAGCTTGAGCTCAGATCCACCTAATTTCCAAATCCAGCACATTAAGACCATTAACCAATGTGAACAGATTTGATCAGTATGTCATACAACCACTGAGTGTGGAATTTCGACGAAATACGCGATTTTCACATTTTGAGCAAAATTCATGAGGACGTGTTTTCGTAGGCTCGTAACTCGGCGAACTTTATAGACTGGAGCCTGAGCATGCACCTTTTGATAGCACAGTTCCCACTGATTTTGACTTGGAAAAGCAAGCAGGCTAGTTTTCTGACAAATTCGCGAAAAGTGCAGGCAAATTTACGAACTTTCGTGACTCAGTTACAGTCACCTCACAATATCTCTACAAAAAGACCCAGTCTTCTTCAAAGGACCACTATTTTCGTAAACAGCGTGTTCGAAAACCTCTTTGGGCAAGGTTTCTTTACAATCCAAGGTCATCGACATTTTGACCAAAACCCATCCGGCGAGCTTCAGGGCGTAGAACGAAAAATCAAATCACCCAAATTTCTTTGAAAACTTGCTCATAGAGGTTATCTGACCTGCTGATTACGAAAATCACATCTGCTTAGCAGTAGAGCTTCTCATTTTAGGGTCACTGTGGGCAAAATTTGAGACAACACGATTTTCCAGAATTCACCAGCTCTTTTATCTTTTCTCAAAAAGATTCTCCGGTTGCTTCTTAGCGCTCGATAATCTGCGGAAGCAGCACAATCCAACAGTGCTTAATAGAGTCTTTTATAATTGATGTGCGCTGCGTTGCGACCTTGTGAATATACGCGCGCAGAAAATTTTGACAAAATTGAAAACAGATCTTCAAGAACATGCTGTATACAGTAAGATTCGACTTGACAAGATGAACACAAATCTGCTTTCTGATTTCGAAAATGTTCATTTAAAGAAAGTTACGGCTAGTAAAACTTGGAATAGCTTAATTTTTCCAGAGTTTATCAGCTCTTCTATCTCTTTTGAAAGGGAGTCTTCGGCTGCTGTTTAGCGCACGATAATCTAGTGAAAGAATACTATCAAACGGTGCCCATGGCAGTCTCCTATGTGTGATGCTTGTTGCGTTACACCCATGCGAAGAGGCGTCGGCATGCAAATTCAAGATTATTGAAAACAAGATATTGGAGACAATCGTATATCAAAAGATTTGCCTTGACGAGCTGAATACAACGTTGTTTTCGGATTTTTAATATACTCATTCGGAAAAAAGTTATGGCCCTGCGTAATTTGCGTGATTCACATGAATTTCGCGGAATTCCCGGAAATTTTGCATGTTCTGTGAGTGGTTTTGTACTATAAGAGATAGAGCGATAAAAACTCACACAGCGTTTTCCAAAGTACATTTCTTATTGTATATTAAAAATGATCCAATTTTGTGTCGTCAGTGATAAATGATAAAATGATGATATCAATGACAACGATAGATAAGAATGGCTTCAATTCATGCGGTCGATTTCCACGTTCATCCTCCATATAGTTACAGAATTTGAGCCCAGGCTTCGGCGTGAAGCGAGTTGAAGCAAAAATGCCATTCTAGGTAAGAGGCAGCAATGGCATGTGCCGATGAAAAATCGATCGATTGCTGCAGCGAGGGATCTACCAATTGCACCGAGCAATAGAACTAGAAAAGCCTGTAGATCACTTATAATGAGAGAAAGAGCGATAGAAATTCACACAGCTTTTCCTACAGTACTTTCCTTACCATATGCAAAAAATGATCCAAAAATGTGTTATTATCAGTGATAAATGATAAAATGCTTATATCAGCGATAAGGGTAAATAAAAACTGCCCAATTTTTCGCGATAGTGTTCGATAACGAGAGCTTCGTACCAGAACCTCCTATACGCGATTTACACTGTGATAAATGTTCACAAAAGCCTTAACGTAGAAAACAACAAGGTATCATTGTATATCTACCCCGTCACTATGAACTACGGACATACCGCATATCAAAAGATTCGTCTCATCAAGCTGAAGCCAAATCTTCACTCAGATTACAAATAAAACTATTTTAAATGAAGTTATGGCTAAATCCCGCTTATCCCGCAAATCCCGCAGAATTGTTGAGAAGCCCCCCTAAAATTTTTTCGGAGTGCGTGGCTAACGCCACGCACCTCCATTTAAAAATTTTTTTTGCCGCGCCCCCCCCCCCCCGAGCCGAAATCCTGGGTACGCCACTGAGAGGGCGATATCATTGGTGAATAATCGAATTATTAAATGCGAATTCCCCCCTATCTCAACTTAGACGTGCGACTTTGCAGTTCATCATCTGTGTTGGAGACGAGCCTTCAAGTACATTTCCTAGCAACTGCTATCAGTGGAATGACGTCCTTTCAACTGTTCCTGATCCAAATTTTACTACCTCACCAGTTGATGTCGATCAAGACCCTGTCTTTATGCCATACTCTAGGTGGGTATTTGCATCATGGAGGAGCTCATCCACGAATTCTCCTTGTTTGTGTGAAACTGTACATTATATTAAATCGGGGCAAAAGCTCTTTTGGTGGACCAACCTACAAATTTGAAAGTAAAAATAAGGATAGTATAGAGCGAATACAAAATATTTTCCGATGCGATTGTGTTGAAGAATGTTGCCGAAGCTTACAATCCTTTGATTTTACCATGTTCAATTTTCTGTGATTTCAGATTGTATCAAATTTTCAAAGGGGCTCTGATAACGATCTGATAGGGCCAATGTTTTGCAATGTTAACCCAACTTTTTGTATCTTTCCATATCCTTTTTAGAATTCGTTAAATCAGTTTACAATAGCCTTGAGTTTCAGAGAATATTGCCACAATGTGCACCATATACTCTGCGCATGTACGCCTAATCAGCATGCGTGGCAGAAGTGCACACTAGTCAATTGAATCAGCGAAAAATGCTCTTTTTACGATCATCAGAGTATATTTACAAACTCTCAAGTACTCACACTCAGTTCCTAAATCCTCGCTCAAGCCAACGCTTGAAGCCATCTTGAATGCTCTGCCTAACTTTTTAACAAAAATTTTGATGCGGGCGCTTGTCCTTGAGCGCACATGAAAGATGGTCGTCACTCCGAAAGCCAAACCTAAAGGTTATTTGGTGACCATAACTATTCAAAATGAGATGTACATAAAATACATTTGGAAACCCTGATACCAAATCTACCCTCGCTATCTGCGATACAAAGCTTTGGAGAGAGTTACAAACAATTTGTAAACATTTTATCTAGAAAGTACTGTACTTATATAAGCATAATGTAGATGAGATTGCCAGTGTTGGTTTAGTCTATAGTCTAACGCTACCGAAGAAACTCCAGACATAGCGGACTAACTTATTCATATTGAACAGTTAGGGCAAGAAAAATTCATCGCGTTGACCATCCGCGGTGCAATTCAAAAATTGGAAAAATAATCATAACTTCGTCCAGGTAAAGGTTTCGCGGATTTGGGGAGCCTTTGAAAGAGCATACAAATGCGTATTTGTCATTAAAACTCCCCATTATGAATGGCCACGGTAAACTCCTTTGCTTGCATATGACTTCAATTAAGGCTAATTGTAGCCTTTAAATTGGCGTCATATCATCTAGAGCTGAAATTTGGTAGCGCAGCCCATTGGGCCGACTATCGCTTCGCAGTGCTCCTATTGTAGCTATACGCCCGTTACTTGAGTCTGTAAATATGAAAGAATATGACTTCTTCATTCAATTTATGAACACTTACTACTTATATTTATTGTGTCACAAGCAAAAGTCATTGTTGAGACTATTAAAAACATCCATGCTCAATTTACTTTGCAATCCTTCCATCAGGTTATCCCATAAATTCCGTCCGTTTTGAGTTTTTCATTCTCAATATTCGTTTTAGTGTGTGGCACTCGAATGAGAGAAGCTAAATTCGATATTGCTCGAGAAGTAAGGCCTGTAGAGAGCTAAAAATCCAGGTCTGTACTTCTACGGGTCTGTAGTATACATCTACTAATGTAGGAACAACACAACATCACTTTGGAAAAACATGTTTTTATTCTTTAGATTTCTATTCGAGGAAGAAATATAGCAACAGTCTATATAAGTATCTGACGTGGATAGTGTATCTGTGAGCAAGCTAGGAATTTCCTGAGATTTTTTTGGAGGGATCACGATTTTTCTTCTATTTTTTGGAAGGTCGGATCCTTCAAGTTTTTATCATCGAATATGAGATGGATTTGGCTGTTGCGAAAGAACACTACCTTATAGGGCTTGCAACCTATCTGTAGAAACAAGAAAGTGACTTATTGCGATTGAAACTTGTGAAAGTTGAAACGGACGGAACTTATGGGACAACCTGACATTTACCATCATATTCTCAAGTCAAATTTCAGTGGTACTACAGGCCCGCCGAAGGGAGTGATGCTGACCCATAAAAACTACTCTGCTCTTATGAGTATTTATGGAAGGTAAGGGAAAGTGAGCGTCTATAATTCATCATAAAATCGTGACAATGACGGCCGCACACATTACTGCGTTTCCATACTTGCTTCCCTTGTCGAAGCATTTTTGCATGTACGTGTGAAAAGGTTTTGAGCGCTAAACTTCGGATGTTATACGCTCTTGTAACGCTGGTGGGCGCGCATACCGCAAGCGATGTCGTCACGATTTTACCAATGCCCTATACTCTATAAAGGTAAACAGTTTTGCGTCATGATAGTCTACTTATAGACATGATGAGTTACGCATGTTGGGAGGACTTTCTCCACCATGGTGCTGTGAGAAAGACAGAGAACTGCTACTTTTGCCATTTTATCACTGCTTTGGATTTGGTAAGTTCCAAACCACTTTTTGAATTTGCTTTTCTTAATTGTTCTCATTTTTTGCGGATACTCTATTGATTCAAAAATTATCACAACCATTTACTGCAGCTATTACAGCGCTTATGATGTCATCCATTCTCAAAGGTGGCACTTCAGTGGTGATGTCACATTTTCATCCACAATTATTTTTGCGAGTCTGTACAAAATTTCAGGTAAGCGCACGAATTAGCTATCTTCCAAATTTTCAACATCCTTTACTTCAGATTCGATTCGTAGCCGTAGTTCCACCTATACTGGTGTTCCTTGTCAAAAATCCTATATGCGAACGATACGACCTCTCTTCATTGCAATTCATTTTCAGCGGGGGCAGCACCAGCTGGGAAGGATCTGTGCGAGGGACTGAAGAAGAAATACAAAAACATAAGGCACATCCAGCAAGGCCAGATACTTTAGCTATAATTGATATAAATCAATGGAACTTGTCAGATCTAAATATCAACGATTTTCTAGGCTATGGTATGTCCGAATTGAGCATGGGATCTCATCTACCTGACATTACTCAGGGACAGCCAGTTGGAAGCGTCGGGAAGCTTGTTTCGAATTTGGAGATGAAGGTGTTCGCATTTTTGTGTATAACCGGTTCATATATCCACATAGCTTACAGATTGTTGACCCAGAAGATAATACTATGAAGGCACGAGGAGAGATCGGAGAGATTTGCATACGCGTCCCACAGTAATGCTTGGTTACTTTGGGAAGCCAGAAGCCACAAAAGAGTGTATCAGAGACGGATTCATGTACACCGGTGAGAATCATTACGATATAAGCTTTAGATAATGCGTAAGAACGGCTGCCATAACCGGTCTCGCTTCTTGTTGATTTCACATGGCAAAAATCACTATGGTCTCCTTTCATCAGTCCTTCCTATGAATATTGTCAAGGGCGCGAAATCAATACACTAACAGTTCCAAATTTGAAATTATCATTACCATTGCAACTATCAAGATACCATGGGTTATATTTAGCTTTTGATAAAGTGTGGTTTTCTAAAACTCTATGATCTTCCGCGTCAATCTACCCTTTTGTACTGCCTTCAGGTTTGTCGCTAAAATTAGAAAATATCAATAAATTTAGGAATACCGAGCAATACTTTGAGTGCTCGATGTACAGTTGCAGCGGTGGAATTTGTCCAAAACTGCGGGATTGTCGGGATTCGCGGGATTGTCGGGATTCGCGGGGTTCGCGGGATTCGCGACTTCGCGGGATTTGCGGGATTCGCGGGATTTGCGGGATAAGCGGGATTTAGCCATAACTTCATTTAAAATAGTTTTATTTGTAATCTGAGTGAAGATTTGGCTTCAGCTTGATGAGACGAATCTTTTGATATGCGGTATGTCCGTAGTTCATAGTGACGGGGTAGATATACAATGATACCTTGTTGTTTTCTACGTTAAGGCTTTTGTGAACATTTATCACAGTGTAAATCGCGTATAGGAGGTTCTGGTACGAAGCTCTCGTTATCGAACACTATCGCGAAAAATTGGGCAGTTTTTATTTACCCTTATCGCTGATATAAGCATTTTATCATTTATCACTGATAATAACACATTTTTGGATCATTTTTTGCATATGGTAAGGAAAGTACTGTAGGAAAAGCTGTGTGAATTTCTATCGCTCTTTCTCTCATTATAAGTGATCTACAGGCTTTTCTAGTTCTATTGCTCGGTGCAATTGGTAGATCCCTCGCTGCAGCAATCGATCGATTTTTCATCGGCACATGCCATTGCTGCCTCTTACCTAGAATGGCATTTTTGCTTCAACTCGCTTCACGCCGAAGCCTGGGCTCAAATTCTGTAACTATATGGAGGATGAACGTGGAAATCGACCGCATGAATTGAAGCCATTCTTATCTATCGTTGTCATTGATATCATCATTTTATCATTTATCACTGACGACACAAAATTGGATCATTTTTAATATACAATAAGAAATGTACTTTGGAAAACGCTGTGTGAGTTTTTATCGCTCTATCTCTTATAGTACAAAACCACTCACAGAACATGCAAAATTTCCGGAATTCCGCGAAATTCATGTGAATCACGCAAATTACGCAGGGCCATAACTTTTTTCCGAATGAGTATATTAAAAATCCGAAAACAACGTTGTATTCAGCTCGTCAAGGCAAATCTTTTGATATACGATTGTCTCCAATATCTTGTTTTCAATAATCTTGAATTTGCATGCCGACGCCTCTTCGCATGGGTGTAACGCAACAAGCATCACACATAGGAGACTGCCATGGGCACCGTTTGATAGTATTCTTTCACTAGATTATCGTGCGCTAAACAGCAGCCGAAGACTCCCTTTCAAAAGAGATAGAAGAGCTGATAAACTCTGGAAAAATTAAGCTATTCCAAGTTTTACTAGCCGTAACTTTCTTTAAAATGAACATTTCGAAATCAGAAAGCAGATTTGTGTTCATCTTGTCAAGTCGAATCTTACTGTATACAGCATGTTCTTGAAGATCTGTTTTCAATTTTGTCAAAATTTTCTGCGCGCGTATATTCACAAGGTCGCAAACGCAGCGCACATCAATTATAAAAGACTCTATTAAGCACTGTTGGATTGTGCTGCTTCCGCAGATTATCGAGCGCTAAGAAGCAACCGGAGAATCTTTTTGAGAAAAGATAAAAGAGCTGGTGAATTCTGGAAAATCGTGTTGTCTCAAATTTTGCCCACAGTGACCCTAAATGAGAAGCTCTACTGCTAAGCAGATGTGATTTTCGTAATCAGCAGGTCAGATAACCTCTATGAGCAAGTTTTCAAAGAAATTTGGGTGATTTGATTTTTTCGTTCTACGCCCTGAAGCTCGCCGATGGGTTTTGGTCAAAATGTCGATGACCTTGGATTGTAAAGAAACCTTGCCCAAAGAGGTTTTCGAACACGCTGTTTACGAAAATAGTGGTCTTTGAAGAAGACTGGGTCTTTTTGTAGAGATATTGTGAGGTGACTGTAACTGAGTCACGAAAGTTCGTAAATTTGCCTGCACTTTTCGCGAATTTGTCAGAAAACTAGCCTGCTTGCTTTTCCAAGTCAAAATCAGTGGGAACTGTGCTATCAAAAGGTGCATGCTCAGGCTCCAGTCTATAAAGTTCGCCGAGTTACGAGCCTACGAAAACACGTCCTCATGAATTTTGCTCAAAATGTGAAAATCGCGTATTTCGTCGAAATTCCACACTCAGTGGTTGTATGACATACTGATCAAATCTGTTCACATTGGTTAATGGTCTTAATGTGCTGGATTTGGAAATTAGGTGGATCTGAGCTCAAGCTACGAAGGTGCTTGTGTCGAGACGCAGACTAATTAGAGTCTGACAGTCCCCTCGCCGACTGGGGCGGTGCCACCAACTTCAGATGAGCTGGCACTCCCTGGGTGCTCGGTGGTCCCCTCCCCAATTATGTTCCCTCATATTTATATTTATGTTATAACGATAAAATAATCTAGTCAGAACTGTTATGTATTACAAAGGAAAGAAACTAAGGGATCCCATTGAGTTGATTATGGTGGTCGCGCGTTCTTCAGCTGCTCATTTGAATATCCAGGTGTCAAGTCTGAAGAGTTAGCTATTCTCTTAACTTGATCCCTCTACCCTTAGTTTCTTTCCTTTGTAATACATAACAGTTCTGACTAGATTATTTTATCGTTATAACATAAATATAAATATGAGGGAACATAATTGGGGAGGGGACCACCGAGCACCCAGGGAGTGCCAGCTCATCTGAAGTTGGTGGCACCGCCCAGTCGGCGAGGGGACTGTCAGACTCTAATTAGTCTGCGTCTCGACACAAGCACCTTCGTAGCTTGAGCTCAGATCCACCTAATTTCCAAATCCAGCACATTAAGACCATTAACCAATGTGAACAGATTTGATCAGTATGTCATACAACCACTGAGTGTGGAATTTCGACGAAATACGCGATTTTCACATTTTGAGCAAAATTCATGAGGACGTGTTTTCGTAGGCTCGTAACTCGGCGAACTTTATAGACTGGAGCCTGAGCATGCACCTTTTGATAGCACAGTTCCCACTGATTTTGACTTGGAAAAGCAAGCAGGCTAGTTTTCTGACAAATTCGCGAAAAGTGCAGGCAAATTTACGAACTTTCGTGACTCAGTTACAGTCACCTCACAATATCTCTACAAAAAGACCCAGTCTTCTTCAAAGACCACTATTTTCGTAAACAGCGTGTTCGAAAACCTCTTTGGGCAAGGTTTCTTTACAAAAGCAGTGTATATCAACGCAGAGTACTCCATCGGCGAGCTTCAGGGCGTAGAACGAAAAAATCAAATCACCCAAATTTCTTTGAAAACTTGCTCATAGAGGTTATCTGACCTGCTGATTACGAAAATCACATCTGCTTAGCAGTAGAGCTTCTCATTTTAGGGTCACTGTGGGCAAAATTTGAGACAACACGATTTTCCAGAATTCACCAGCTCTTTTATCTTTTCTCAAAAAGATTCTCCGGTTGCTTCTTAGCGCTCGATAATCTGCGGAAGCAGCACAATCCAACAGTGCTTAATAGAGTCTTTTATAATTGATGTGCGCTGCGTTGCGACCTTGTGAATATACGCGCGCAGAAAATTTTGACAAAATTGAAAACAGATCTTCAAGAACATGCTGTATACAGTAAGATTCGACTTGACAAGATGAACACAAATCTGCTTTCTGATTTCGAAAATGTTCATTTTAAAGAAAGTTACGGCTAGTAAAACTTGGAATAGCTTAATTTTTCCAGAGTTTATCAGCTCTTCTATCTCTTTTGAAAGGGAGTCTTCGGCTGCTGTTTAGCGCACGATAATCTAGTGAAAGAATACTATCAAACGGTGCCCATGGCAGTCTCCTATGTGTGATGCTTGTTGCGTTACACCCATGCGAAGAGGCGTCGGCATGCAAATTCAAGATTATTGAAAACAAGATATTGGAGACAATCGTATATCAAAAGATTTGCCTTGACGAGCTGAATACAACGTTGTTTTCGGATTTTTAATATACTCATTCGGAAAAAAGTTATGGCCCTGCGTAATTTGCGTGATTCACATGAATTTCGCGGAATTCCCGGAAATTTTGCATGTTCTGTGAGTGGTTTTGTACTATAAGAGATAGAGCGATAAAAACTCACACAGCGTTTTCCAAAGTACATTTCTTATTGTATATTAAAAATGATCCAATTTTGTGTCGTCAGTGATAAATGATAAAATGATGATATCAATGACAACGATAGATAAGAATGGCTTCAATTCATGCGGTCGATTTCCACGTTCATCCTCCATATAGTTACAGAATTTGAGCCCAGGCTTCGGCGTGAAGCGAGTTGAAGCAAAAATGCCATTCTAGGTAAGAGGCAGCAATGGCATGTGCCGATGAAAAATCGATCGATTGCTGCAGCGAGGGATCTACCAATTGCACCGAGCAATAGAACTAGAAAAGCCTGTAGATCACTTATAATGAGAGAAAGAGCGATAGAAATTCACACAGCTTTTCCTACAGTACTTTCCTTACCATATGCAAAAAATGATCCAAAAATGTGTTATTATCAGTGATAAATGATAAAATGCTTATATCAGCGATAAGGGTAAATAAAAACTGCCCAATTTTTCGCGATAGTGTTCGATAACGAGAGCTTCGTACCAGAACCTCCTATACGCGATTTACACTGTGATAAATGTTCACAAAAGC